ATTGAGCAAATTTGTCAGATAGGTAGATTCAGCCCACATACCCTGAAGACTGGGTGGAGCGTGGTTTTTGGACATCATATCTAACCTCCTCCTCCTTCTAGGGAAGTGGTAAAACTGTTGCACTTCCTCTCCTGCCTCCCCCTTTTCAGAACTCTTTTTGCCTGGGACCATTCTACCTTCAGTAAGAGCACGTATGTTAAAAAGAAAACGAGCATTTCCAAGGCTGCCAGAAAAATTCTTGCACTTCCATTAAATCTGTTGGAATTTTTAGATGTGTTCTAGAAATGATGCGTGTTTGTGACTATTCCCTTTCAGCGCTCCATGGTAGGCAATGGTTAACTCAGAATGTTACCACCATCACACTCCTAATGTCTGTTACCCAGGGAGCTGTAACTTTGAGTCTTCATAAGTTCTAGCAAGTAGAAATCAATAGAAGTCGTTTTCAGCCTATAAACATTCTTTAGTTGTCCTGTCAAAGGTAGTCACACTTGCCAGCATTTGCCTTCAAGGTTCCTGTTGTGTGCGATCCCCACCCCTTCCTCATGACTTTTGGCATTTCTATTGCCTTCTACCCCTCCCCCCTTTCTTCGATTTCTGGCAGTTTGGGTTTTTGTTGGCAAGCTACATACATTAGTGGTGGTTAACTTATGCTAAAGGCAGTAAAGACTGTTGAGGGCTCTTGGATTTGGCAAGGATTTAGAGGTCCAATTTAGAAGGGGACAGTGGTCCAGGCAGCTCCTTTGGCCCTGTCTCTTAATGACAGGTACAGATAGGCTTACACTTACACCCCGTGGCAGTCCACCTTCCCAGGGTTTGGAGGCTGGAGAGCGAGCTTTGACTGTGTGCCCTAGGCTGTACTGCAGTGAAGAGAGAAAGATCCGGAATCAGCCTTCTTTTGTGCAGGCAGTAGCAGTGTCCCAAAAGGAAATCCAGGTCCTAGAAAGGGAGAATGCATACCAGGCAAGGGTGGGGAAGACAGTTGTCTACCACATCAGTGGCTCTGCGATTCCCCTTTCTCCCAACAGCTGGGGACCTCCTCACTTCACCCTACTGATGCTGCCTCTGGAGAACATTCCTCATTCTTACTCTTTGCCCTTGCCCCGCATATCTGTTCTCATCCTACCTTTTACCCACACAGCTGCGGCCAATTTAGGGTGAGCAGTAGTGGTCCCATTAGTAGGACAGGTTAAGGGAGAGATAGATGCTGGTGTCCAAGTTGAGACTTTTGGTTCACATTTCCCCATTGAGACATGGTTAGAAATAGCAGTTAACTTTTACGGTAAGCGAAAGCTTGATTTTCATAGGACCATTAGGAATACTTTACTTCTAAGCAAATATACTTACTATATCTGTGCGTTATTCTAGATATCTCAAGGTTTACATCTTTAAGCTAATGAACTTTTTTTGTGTATTACAGGTTTTCCTATACTTTATAAAAGAGTATACTAAACATCATGTAACCTTTTGTGACAAGTAGAAATAACCATTGCAAATCTTGCTTTAGTATATGGACTTTATTTATACTTGACTGACAGTGGGTCTTTTTTTAGTTTGAACAGTGTTTTTGATAAGCAAGATTGATAGATAACTGAACTCCCTAGTGAAAATAACCATACTTTACCTATACTGTACAATATATATTAATCAGCTTTTATGAGTTATCCTGGAAACCTGAACTCATTCCTACTATTTCTATGGGAAAGGTATTCTGATTTTCAAATAACAGCAAACAAACCCTTTTATAAAAGTGAAGAGCTACCTTCTCCTGTCTTTTTGTAATCTCTGTGGGATGTTTTTTTAACTAATAAGACTATATATCATGGGATATGCTTTCATTTCACTAAAATTTCATAACATTAGCAGAACTTAAGAAATACTGAATCTCTGAGTGAAAAGTTGCCTATAAAAGTGGGGTATTTTTTTCCCCACCTGATATGTATATTGAAACACTACTTGAATTGAGCTAAAATGAGTGGAGTGACATTGTCATTTCTTCCAAGTGTGTAACAAGTTTTATTTTTTTCCATATTAAGAAATACTCAAGTGTGTCCATAATGCAAGATTTACTTCTAAGTAAATAGGAATTTTCTTTCCACTGTTTCAGGCCGGAGCCTCAGCAGAAAGCTCCTTTAGTTCCTCCTCCTCCACCGCCGCCGCCACCACCACCACCTTTGCCAGAACCCACACCCCCAGAGCCAGAGGAGGAGATCCTGGGATCAGATGATGAAGAGCAAGAGGACCCTGCGGACTACTGCAAAGGTGATGTACCGACCATGGCAGTGACCATGGCAGTGGAGGGCTTGCCTTCCCCACCGGGCCACCCGCTAATTTTTGTTGGGGAAACAAACGAGGGGAGGTCATGCTGCAAACTGCTTGGTCTATTAAATTAGCCTCCTTATGTCAGTATCATTTTAAATTCTTAGGTCGTTGAATATAGAATGATACCAGAAAATGTAAGAGATGTGAAAGAAAATTGTAAGAGATAGAAAATATATACAGACATACTCTAGGTACTTTTAAATGGATTTACGTCTGGTAGAATTAAATATAGTATACAGCAGTACAATTAAAGACAAAGGACATAGTAAACCATCTAAGAAGAGTGTAGGGAATAGAAGGTACCAGGCTCCTAAAGGGAGCTAATTATAACTGTTGTGCACTATATTTGACTTTCAATTTTCTGACTGCTAAGGATAAAAGAGAACCATTCCTTTCTCTGTATGGCATTGAATTACATAGCATTCATTGTCTGTGGAAAGAAAGCATGCACATTTGTTTACAGAGAAAGACTCTTTCCTGGCATTGTATTTAACGAAAAAGGCATTCTGTGGCTTCTGCCATTGTGTGACATAGTGGATTATGTTTTCAGCTATGATTTCACAGAAGACATAGAAACTATTCAAGTGGAGTGTTCTTGTATTGATGCTTTGTAAAGACCAAGAGCATATATTTAAACTCCTAAAGGGCAAGCATGTTGTATGATGAATATTGAGAACAATATGATCTAGACACGACGCTTTGTGTAGACTGGACTCTGAGAATCTAGGAGAAAGGGAAGTTGCTGTGTTCATTTGGCTGCTGCTTCGTCACTTAACTTACTCATTTGGACTTCAGTTCCATGGAATTCTGAGCTTCTGAGCAATTGGGTGAGACAAGTTTATTTGCAGTAGATACTATATGATGTATCAGATTCTATATAGCATAAGAATACAAGTCAGAAGATGCACACATGTTCAGGCCATAGAATATTAGTGAATTTTTGGGTCTCTACAGTAACTTAGTAATTCATTATTTCTCAGGTAGATGCAAGTCATTTGTATGTTGGTTAAGGAACAGTGTAGTTTTGGTTATTTGCTAAAAAGAAGAGAAAGTTACTCTGCCGTAAAAGTGTGAGAATTAATCAACTCTAACCTGATTCTTCCATAGGTGCAGGTATCTACCCATAGAATCAACGTTTTCCTTAGAAAAGAGAATGTGGATCTCTTTTGGCATTTGTTTGAATAGTGGTTATGACCTCAAAGGTCTGTGCCGTCTAATAAAAGATAAGATACAGAGACAGTTTGGAAATGTGAGAAGAAGGTGTTTTCTGTTCTCCCTTTTAATCTGAATTTCTTAGCTTACTGTCATTTGATTTTATTGCTGTAGGAACCGTTCTTTAGGAGCTGTTCTCTTCAGCAAATAGGCTCCTCCAGGCTGGGCATGGTGGCTCACACCGGTAATCCCAGCACTTTGGGAGGCTGAGGCCAGAAGATTGCTTGAGCCCAGGAGTTGGAAACCAGCCTGGGCAACATAGCAGGCCCCCGTCTCTACCAAAAAAATTGAAAAAGACCAAACAAAGCAATTAGCCAGGCGTGGTGGCATGTGCTTGTAGTCCTAGCTATTTGGGAGGCTGAGGTGAGGGAGGATTACTTGAGTCCAGGAGTTAGAGGCTATAATGAGATAGGATCATGCCGCTGCGCTCCAGCTTGGGCAACAGAGCAAAACCCTCTCTCTCTTTCTTTAAAAAAAAAAAAAAAATTCCATGATGCTGGAATGAAAACTATCTGCCTTACACCTGGCTTTCCAGTATGTGGGTCAGCAGATGTAACCAATACTGTTATCCCCTTACTACCTCTGGGGACCAGCATAATGGACATCCCAACCCCAAATATAGGTCTAAGAGTAAAGGATTCCACATTTGGGGCTGATTCTACGTAATAGACACTGAACTCTAGCCTTGGTGTAGAGTATTAAAGTCAGCTTCAGTAAGGCATGTTAGAGATTGTAAGATTCTCTCCTTATACACCCCTCCCCGAATTTGGTAAGTAACTTGTGCTTCTAGTTAGCATTACTTGCAACACATACACTACTCTGTGAATTTTATAGTGTAGACCTTACAGTTTATCTAAGTTAACTGACATACTTTCAGAGAGTTCAAGGAATTGCTTGAAATGGCTCAGGTAAGTGCTGTGGCCTTCTCATTTTTTTGTTCAGGGATAGAAGAGATAACTTCTCCCTCAAGAACCAGTTCAGCTTATTAACAACATGATGTTTTGTCATCCTCAAATACTTTAGTATATTTTGCCTACAGTCAAGTATAAACCAAAATACAAACATCAAGACCAGGAAGTTAATACTGATATCTTAACGTTACTATCATTCAGTCCTCAGACTTCATTTGGGTTTTGCCAGTTGCCCGATATTGTCCTTTATATGAAATGGATCTATGACAGAGTCACACGTTTCATTTTGTTTTCGTGGGTTTCTTTAATCTCCTTTAATTTGCAACAGTTCCTCAATATTTCCTTGGCTTCATGACCTTGACATTTTTGAAGATTGTGGGCTGCTTATTTTGTGCAGTGTTTCTCAATTTGGAATACCACCGGTGTGTCGCTGTGTTCTTCTCAGTGCATCCCATCCTATCCATCCCGTCAGGTGGTATGCAGCTTTGATTTGTTCTGCTAGAGTCGATGTCACCACTTGATTAAGATGGTGTTTTCCGGTATCTCTACTGTATAGTTACTCTTTCCCCCTACTAATTAATAAGTATTTTGTTGAGAGTTACTTTGAGACTACATAAATAATCCCATTCAACATAGTTGTCCTCCCACCTCTCTGGCTGTCTGTCTCAGATGGTTTCACTCATTCATGGAGTCTGTTTGATTCAGTGGGTTGTAATTACTTACCTTCCTCATTTGTTTTGATGCTTAAATCATCCCAAATTTGGCCATTAGGAACCCCTTCAGGTTGGTTCTGTGTCCTTTTGAAATGTCCCAGTCATTCTTTGAGCACTTCTTTACCTTGAGGTACAGTAAGATATTCCAGATTCATCTTGTATTTTCCCTACCCCAGCCCTGGGATCTGCTCTTTCCCCAAGGAGCCTTGGGTTCCTTTTAGTGAAGAATAGTGTTTAGAAAGCAAGATCTGGCAGTAGGTGTGCTTATTACTTTTAGGGTGTCACCGTTTCCAGGTCTTAGTACAGGCCTAGAGATATACACACACCTGCACATGCTTCCTTTATATTTATTTATGTATTTGTCCATGTATATATTGAAAGCCATGAGTTTAATCTGATATCTCTAAAACCAGACGATTCAGCACAATTTTCTCCCTTTCCGTATTTGTGGTTCCTTTCTCTAACAGTAAGAGCTGAGGTTCTCACCATCCTCATTGCAGTGACTTAGTTGATTGATTTCCCAGTCCTTAACGAGTCACCATTCACCATCCCTGCTATCTCTGTCTTCCCTCCCTTCCTTGTCGACCTAACTTGTGCACTGACACCCTTTGTCTCCTGGCCCTGCTGAATGGCTTTGGGCGGAACTGCCCAGGAAGGGGGAAGGGCAGGGATGGCTTGTCCAGGCCGGGAGTATGTTCTGCTCAGTCTGGGCCACCAGTTGTGTTCTGTCACCTGTCCTGTTTATTCCTGGAGAACCTCTGCCCTACCAGCTGCTTCTCAGTTCTCCCCAAATACATTAAAACATCATCAACAATAAAAACACACTACATATTTTTCTCTTTACAAAAGAAATATTTGTTCATAGGAAATACAGACACTTTGGGGGTGGAGGGCAGTAGTCACCTGGAATCCTGTCACTCAGCTGTGAGCCTTTGGGTCCCTACCTTTGTTAACCATTTATGACCAGCCAAGTTGTATCTTAACTCTTCACCCTATTTTTATCTCCTTACCCTCACAAATCTTTCCCTCCTTAAAACTGTGGACTCTCAGCTGTTTTAACAAGAAAACCACTATTTGAAATTCTAATATTGCAAAAGCATTGTTCATTGCTCTGTCTGCTTGCTTTGGCCTTGTCTTTGGAGTGGGACTCTTCTCTTCCTTTCTTCACAGCCAGCTTGTTCCTACTCATCTAATCTTAGCTTCCCAAGAGGATTATGGACTGGTTTCTGAGAGACCTGGGTTCAAAACCTGGCTCTGTTGTTTCCTAACTCTGTATTCTTACATAAGTTCCTTTTGCTCTAGGCTTTTGGTCTTCGTCTGTGGTATCATAATATCATTATAATATAATATATTTGCCACTGAAGGTTTTATGGGGATTAAAATGAGATAAATATGTGAAGTGCATGGCACACTGCCTGATACATAAAAGGCTCTTAAGAAGTAGGAATTTGATTTCTTTTTCTCTGGTTCTGTTCTGTCACTCTTTTGGGTGTGTTCCTGTCTGTACTTACATGCTGCACCCATGGGTGCTGGTCCCCTAGCTCTCTGATCCCCTCCTGTGTGTGGGTGCTTCCTTGGCCTCTGGAGAGAGCTGTCAGCACCGCCTGTCTTTTTTGCGTGTCGCCTTGGGTCAGTTTTCTGGACGGGAGCTATAGCAGCAGGCTGTGCAGTTTCTTTAGATGCTGCTTCCAAGCACATGGGCATCAAGGGCCAGGCACAGGGCCAGCTGTGAACAAGTGCTTCTGGGACTTTGTGAGTGCCACACACTCACTTCATGAGTCTGAGCAAAAAGCCTCCTGTGGGGAACCTCTAGAGCCTCGTGGGATTTCAGTCCCTAGGGCCCTGGTGAGCATTCCTAGGCTGTGCCGTGATCCTGAGCTGGAATACCTGAGAGTAGGACTCGGACTCCAAGTATTTAAACAAGTCCATTGGATCCTTTGTGTGCACACTGAAGGTTGAAGTCTGTTTAATTCTGAGGTCTGCATGTACCATTCTTTTACAACTCCAAAGCTGCAATTCAGTAAAGTGACCCTTCCCTCCATCCTGTGTGTATGACGGACTGGTAATGTGGGGGTGTCATTGCTTAGAGCCACCTTACATTCCT